CATTTACTCGATTTAATTTAACTGATATGTGGATTCAACACTTATAATTTGTGTTTAGTGAAATGAATACTTTGTACCCAATTGTCAACAAAAAAGGTCTTTGGAACAATATTCAAGTCTAGATCACGGCGTCTGGTATTAAAGAGCGAATTATTCACATTATTATATTCTAGTCGAATCAAACTTTCAGCAAAATGTATAAGAGAAAACTATGTGATTGACTTGTATGTGCAATCAATTTACATCCCGAATGACAATGCTAATGATTCTGAATTACTCGTATTAATTCACTCACATTTGAATATCATCCAAGTCTCCCAGTTTATTGTGTACATCGTTACCATATAATTCATACACCGCCGGAACGTTCGAGTAAGATAAGTAATCATGAGAATATTTCAAAGTATGCAGGAAGGTAGTACTATGATCGTACCGTCCGGCGCGTATCGGATGTCGATGCGACCCTGTACAGCCTTAGTGCATACTTTTCTGTATTCTCGTGATAACCATAATATTATACATCTTTTTTTCTGCTTGTAGTTATCATTCAATGTAATATGATACCATTGAAACAACAAACAAATATAAATACATGTGTTATTTTAGTAAATGATAAACAATGAAACTAGTACTCCGCAGTAGATTTGAAATTAATTTGAACTCCTGAATGAAAAATAACTTTAAAAATTTATTTTGCATACTTATGCATGAGGAAATATGCATGAGCACTTACTTTGCTGGTCAAATGTAAGTATTAATACTTATATATATTATCATTATTTTCAGAATGTAGACAACAAAACTCACCTTCGGTAGTAGCTATAGGAATTTCAACAGTAGTCACTTTTCTGGATTCACTAGTTTGCTGTATGGGAGCGTCGGTTTTCAAAACTGTAATAAAACAAATATTCTTTATTTTAACTACTAATTGGCTGTTTAAAATATTGAATTATTTTGTGGAGCTAAATAAAATACTAGAACACTTATTTAGAAGACTAGATACAGTATATACATATAAATATATTTATTCACGATAGTTCTGAAATGTTAGAAATTACAACAGACCTTTCGTAGTTGTTTCAGGAATTGCTGCAGTTGTCGCTTTGACGGACCTTGTTGTCATCAGCTCACTTGAAGCTTCCGTTTCTAAACCTGAAAACATTTAAAGAATGCATTTACCCGGTTTTTAATTTAACTACTATGCGATTCATCACTTATAATTTTGTGTTTAGTGAAATGAATACTTTGTACCCAATTGTCCAACAAAAAAGGTCTTTTGGAACAATATTCAAGTCTAGATCACGGCGTCTGGTATTTAAAAGCGAATTATTCACATTATTATATTCTAGTCGAATCAAACTTTCAGCAAAATGTATAAGAGAAAACTATGTGATTGACTTGTATGTGCAATCAATTTACATCCCGAATGACAATGCTAATGATTCTGAATTACTCGTATTAATTCACTCACATTTGAATATCATCCAAGTCTCCCAGTTTATTGTGTACATCGTTACCATATAATTCATACACCGCCGGAACGTTCGAGTAAGATAAGTAATCATGAGAATATTTCAAAGTATGCAGGAAGGTAGTACTACGATCGTAGCGACCAGCGCGTATCGGATGTCGATGCGACCCTGTACTGCCTTGGTGCATACTCTTCTGTATCCTCGTGATAACCATAATATTATACATCTTTTTTTTCTGCTTGTAGTTATGATTTAATGTAACATGATACCATTGAAACAACAAACAAATATAAATACATGTGTTATTTTAGTAAATGATAAACAATAAAACTGGCATTCCGCAGTAGATTTGAAATTAATGTGAACTCCTGAATGAAAAATAACTTTTAAAATTAATTTTGCATATTTATGCATGAGGAAATATGCATGAGCCCTTACTTTGCTGGTCAAATATCAGTATTAATACTTATATATATTATCATTATTTTCAGAATGCAGACAACAAAACTTACCTTCAGTAGTAGCTATAGGAATTTCTACAGTAGTCACTTTTCTGGATTCACTTGTTTGCTGTAACGGAGCGTCTGTTTTCAAAACTTTAATAAAACAAATATTATGTATTTGTAACTACTAATTGGCTGTTTAAAGTATTGAATTATTTTGTGGAGCTAAATAACATACTAGAACACTTATTTGAAAGACCAGATACGGTATATATATATATATATATTTATTCAGGATAGTTCTGAAATGTTAGCAATTACGACTGACCCTTCGTAGTTGTCTCAGGAATTGCTGCAGTAGTCGCTTTGCTGGACCCTGTTGTCATCAGCTGACTTGAAGCTTCAGTTTCTAAACCTGAAGGCATTTAGAGAATGCATTTAATCGATTTTAATTTAACTGCTATGTGATTCAACACTTATAATTTTGTGTTTAGTGAAATGAATACTTTGTACCCAATTGTCAAACAAGGAAAGGTGTTTTGGAACAATATTCAAGTCTAGATCACGGCGTCTGGTATTAAAGAGCGAATTATTCACATTATTATATTCTAGTCGAATCAAACTTTCAGCAAAATGTATAAGAGAAAACTATGTTATTGACTTGTATGTGCAATCAATTTACATCCTGAATGACAATGCTAACGATTCTGAATTACTCGTATTAATTCACTCACATTTGAATATCATCCAATTCTCCCGGTTTATTGTGTACATCGTTACCATATAATTCATACACCGCCGGAACGTTCGAGTAAGATAAGTAATCATGAGAATATTTCAAAGTATGCAGGAAGGTAGTACTACGATCGTAGCGACCAGCGCGTATCGGATGTCGATGCGAGCCTGTACAGCCTTAGTGCATACTTTTCTGTATTCTCGTGATAACCATAATATTATACATCTTTTTTTCTGCAGTAGTTATCATTCAATGTAATATGATACCATTGAAACAACAAACAAATATAAATACATGTGTTATTTTAGTAAATGATAAACAATAAAACTAGTACTCCGCAGTAGATTTGAAATTAATTTGAACTCCGGAATGAAAAATAACTTTTAAAATTAATGTTGCATACTTATGCATGACGAAATACGCTTGAGCACTTACTTTGCTGGTCAAATGTAAGTATTAATACTTATATATATTATCATTATTTTCAGAATGTAGACAACAAAACTCACCTTCGGTAGTAGCTATAGGAATTCTACAGTAGTCACTTTCTGGATTCACTTGTTGCTGTAACGGAGCGTCTGTTTTCAAAACTTTAATAAAACAAATATTATGTATTTGTAACTACTAATTGGCTGTTTAAAATATTGAATTATTTTGTGGAGCTAAATAACATACTAGAACACTTATTTGAAAGACCAGGTACGGTATATACATATATATATTTATTCAGGATAGTTCTGAAATGTTAGCAATTACGACTGACCCTTCGTAGTTGTCTCAGGAATTGCTGCAGTAGTCGCTTTGCTGGACCCTACTGTCATCAGCTGACTTGAAGCTTCAGTTTCTAAACCTGAAAGCATTTAGAGAATGCATTTACTCGATTTTAATTTAACTGCTATGTGATTCAACACTTATAATTTTGTGTTTAGTGAAATGAATACTTTGTACCCAATTGTCCAACAAAAAAAGTCTTTTGGAACAATATTCAAGTCTAGATCACGTCGTCTGGTATTAAAGAGCGAATTATTCACATTATTATATTCTAGTCGAATCAAACTTTCAGCAAAATGTATAAGAGAAAACTATGTGATTGACTTGTGTGTGCAATCAATTTGCATCCCGAATGACAATGTTAACGATTCTGAATTACTCGTATTAATTCACTCACATTGAATATCACCCAACGCAACTGGTTTATTGTGTACATCGTTACCATATAATTTATACACCGCCGGAACGTTCGAGTAAGATAAGTAATCATGAGAATATTTCAATGTATGCAGGAAGGCAGTACTATGATCGTACCGTCCGGCGCGTATCGGATGTTGATGCGACCCTGTACAGCCTTAGTGCATACTTTTCTGTATTCTCGTGTTAACCATAATACTATACATCTTTTTTTCTGCTTGTAGTTATCATTCAATGTAATATGATACCATTGAAACAACAAACAAATATAAATACATGTGTTATTTTAGTAAATGATAAACAATGAAACTAGTACTCCGCAGCAGATTTGAAATTAATTTGAACTCCTGAATGAAAAATAACTTTAAAAATTAATTTTGCATACTTATGCATGAGGAAATAAGCATGAGCACTTACTTTGCTGGTCAAATATCAGTATTAATACTTATATATATTATCATTATTTTCAGAATGTAGACAACAAAACTCACCTTCGGTAGTAGCTATAGGAATTTCTACAGTAGTCACTTTTCTGGATTCATTTGTTTGCTGTATGGGAGCGTCTGTTTTCAAAACTGTAATAAAACAAATATTCTTTATTTTAACTACTAATTGGCTGTTTAAAATATTGAATTATTTTGTGGAGCTAAATAAAATACTAGAACACTTATTTAGAAGACTAGATACAGTATATACATATAAATATATTTATTCACGATAGTTCTGAAATGTTAGCAATTACAACAGACCTTTCGTAGTTGTTTCAGGAATTGCTGCAGTTGTCGCTTTGATGGACCTTGTTGTCAGCAGCTCACTTGAAGCTTCAGTTTCTAAACCTGAAAACATTTAAAGAATGCATTTACACGGTTTTTAATTTAACTACTATGTGATTCAACACTTATAATTTTGTGTTTAGTGAAATGAATACTTTGTACCCAATTGTCCAACAAAAAAGGTCTTTTGGAACAATATTCAAGTCTAGATCACGGCGTCTGGTATTTAAGAGCGAATTATTCACTTTATTATATTCTAGTCGAATCAAACTTTCAGCAAAACGTATAATAGAAAACTATGTGATTGACTTGTATGTGCAATCAATTTACATCCCGAATGACAATGCTAATGATTCTGAATTACTCGTATTAATTCACTCACATTTGAATGTCATCCAAGTCTCCCGGTTTATTGTGTACATCGTTACCATATAATTCGTACACCGCCGGAACGTTCGAATAAGATAAGTAATCATGAGAATATTTCAAAGTATGCAGGAAGGCAGTACTATGATCGTACCGAACAGCGCGTATCGGGTGTCGATGCGACCCTGTACTGCCTTGGTGCATACTCTTCTGTATTCTCTTGATAACCATAATATTATACTTTTTTTTTCTGCTTGTAGTTATCATTCAATGTAATATGATACCATTGAAACAACAAACAAATATAAATACATGTGTTATTTTAGTAAATGATAAACAATGAAACTAGTACTCCGCAGCAGATTTGAAATTAATTTGAACTCCTGAATGAAAAATAACTTTAAAAATTAATTTTGCATACTTATGCATGAGGAAATAAGCATGAGCACTTACTTTGCTGGTCAAATATCAGTATTAATACTTATATATATTATCATTATTTTCAGAATGTAGACAACAAAACTCACCTTCGGTAGTAGCTATAGGAATTTCTACAGTAGTCACTTTTCTGGATTCATTTGTTTGCTGTATGGGAGCGTCTGTTTTCAAAACTGTAATAAAACAAATATTCTTTATTTTAACTACTAATTGGCTGTTTAAAATATTGAATTATTTTGTGGAGCTAAATAAAATACTAGAACACTTATTTAGAAGACTAGATACAGTATATACATATAAATATATTTATTCACGATAGTTCTGAAATGTTAGCAATTACAACAGACCGTTCGTAGTTGTTTCAGGAATTGCTGCAGTTGTCGCTTTGACGGACCTTGTTGTCAGCAGCTCACTTGAAGCTTCAGTTTCTAAACCTGAAAACATTTAAAGAATGCATTTACACGGTTTTTAATTTAACTACTATGTGATTCAACACTTATAATTTTGTGTTTAGTGAAATGAATACTTTGTACCCAATTGTCCAACAAAAAAGGTCTTTTGGAACAATATTCAAGTCTAGATCACGGCGTCGGGTATTTAAGAGCGAATTATTCACATTATTATATTCTAGTCGAATCAAACTTTCAGCAAAACGTATAATAGAAAACTATGTGATTGACTTGTATGTGCAATCAATTTACATCCCGAATGACAATGCTAATGATTCTGAATTACTCGTATTAATTCACTCACATTTGAATGTCATCCAAGTCTCCCGGTTTATTGTGTACATCGTTACCATATAATTCGTACACCGCCGGAACGTTCGAGTAAGATAAGTAATCATGAGAATATTTCAAAGTATGCAGGAAGGCAGTACTATGATCGTACCGAACAGCGCGTATCGGGTGTCGATGCGACCCTGTACTGCCTTGGTGCATACTCTTCTGTATTCTCTTGATAACCATAATATTAAACTTTTTTTTCTGCTTGTAGTTATGGTTTAATGTAATATGATACCATTGAAACAACAAACAAATATAAATACATGTGTTATTTTAGTGAATGATAAACAATAAAACTGGCATTCCGCAGTAGATTTGAAATTAGTTTGAACTCCTGAAAGAAAAATAACTTTTAAAATTAATTTTGCATATTTATGCATGAGGAAATATGCATGAGCCCTTACTTTGCTGGTCAAATATCAGTATTAATACTTATATATATTATTATTATTTTCAGAATGCAGACAACGAAACTTACCTTCAGTAGTAGCTATAGGAATTTCTACAGTAGTCACTTTTCTGGATTCACTTGTTTGCTGTAACGGAGCGTCTGTTTTCAAAACTTTAATAAAACAAATATTATGTATTTGTAACTACTAATTGGCTGTTTAAAATATTGAATTATTTTGTGGAGCTAAATAACATACTAGAACACTTATTTGAAAGACCAGGTACGGTATATACATATATATATTTATTCAGGATAGTTCTGAAATGTTAGCAATTACGACTGACCCTTCGTAGTTGTCTCAGGAATTGCTGCAGTAGTCGCTTTGCTGGACCCTACTGTCATCAGCTGACTTGAAGCTTCAGTTTCTAAACCTGAAAGCATTTAGAGAATGCATTTACTCGATTTTAATTTAACTGCTATGTGATTCAACACTTATAATTTTGTGTTTAGTGAAATGAATACTTTGTACCCAATTGTCCAACAAAAAAAGTCTTTTGGAACAATATTCAAGTCTAGATCACGTCGTCTGGTATTAAAGAGCGAATTATTCACATTATTATATTCTAGTCGAATCAAACTTTCAGCAACACTCACATTGAATATCACCCAACGCAACTGGTTTATTGTGTACATCGTTACCATATAATTCATACACCGCCGGAACGTTCGAGTAACATAAGTAATCATGAGAATATTTCAAAGTATGCAGAAAGGCAGTACTATGATCGTACCGTCCGGCGCGTATCGGATGTCGATGCGACCCTGTACTGCCTTAGTGCATACTTTTCTGTATTATCGTGATAACCATAATATTATACATCTTTTTTCTGCTTGTAGTTATCATTCAATGTAATATGATACCATTGAAACAACAAACAAATATAAATACATGTGTTATTTTAGTAAATGATAAACAATAAAACTGGTACTCCGTAGTAGATTTGAAATTAATTTGAACTCCAGAATGAAAAATAACTTTAAAAATTAATTTTGCATACTTATGCATGAGGAAATATGCATGAGCACTTACTTTGCTGGTCAAATATCAGTATTAAGACTTATATATATTATCATTATTTTCAGACTGTAGACAACAAAACTCACCTTCGGTAGTAGCTATAGGAATTTCTACAGTAGTCATTTTTCTGGATTCACTTGTTTGCTGTATGGGAGCGTCAGTTTTCAAAACTGTAATAAAACAAATATTCTTTATTTTAACTACTAATTGGCTGTTTAAAATATTGAATTATTTTGTGGAGCTAAATAAAATACTAGAACACTTATTTAGAAGACTAGATACAGTATATACATATAAATATATTTATTCACGATAGTTCTGAAATGTTAGCAATTACAACAGACCTTTCGTAGTTGTTTCAGGAATTGCTGCAGTTGTCGCTTTGATGGACCTTGTTGTCATCAGCTCACTTGAAGCTTCAGTTTCTAAACCTGAAAACATTTAAAGAATGCATTTACCCGGTTTTTAATTTAACTACTATGTGATTCAACACTTATAATTTTGTGTTTAGTGAAATGAATACTTTGTACCCAATTGTCCAACAAAAAAGGTCTTTTGGAGCAATATTCAAGTCTAGATCACGGCGTCTCGTATTAAAATGCGAATTATTCACATTATTATATTCTAGTCGAATCAAACTTTCAGCAAAATGTATAAGGGAAAACTATGTGATTGACTTCTATGTGCAATCAATTTACATCCTGAATGACAATGCTAACGATTCTGAATTACTCGTATTAATTCACTCACATTTGAATATCATCCAATTCTCCCGGTTTATTGTGTACATCGTTACCATATAATTCATACACCGCCGGAACGTTCGAGTAAGATAAGTAATCATGAGAATATTTCAAAGCATGCAGGAAGGTAGTACTACGATCGTACCGACCAGCGCGTATCGGATGTCGATGCGACCCTGTACTGCCTTGGTGCATACTCTTCTGTATCCTCGTGATAACCATAATATTATACATCTTTTTTTTTCTGCTTGTAGTTATGATTTAATGTAATATGATACCATTGAAACAACAAACAAATATAAATACATGTGTTATTTTAGTAAATGATAAACAATAAAACTGGCATTCCGCAGTAGATTTGAAATTAATTTGAACTCATGAATGAAAAATAACTTTAAAAATTAATGTTGCATACTTATGCATGAGGAAATATGCATGAGCACTTACTTTGCTGGTCAAATATCAGTATTAAGACTTATATATATTATCATTATTTTCAGACTGTAGACAACAAAACTTACCTTCAGTAGTAGCTATAGGAATTTCTACAGTAGTCACTTTTCTGGATTCACTTGTTTGCTGTATGGGAGCGTCGGTTTTCAAAACTGTAATACAACAAATATTCTTTATTTTAACTACTAATTGGCTGTTTAAAGTATTGAATTATTTTGTGGAGCTAAATAACATACTAGAACACTTATTTGAAAGACCAGATACGGTATATACATATATATATTTATTCAGGATAGTTCTGAAATGTTAGCAATTACGACTGACCCTTCGTAGTTGTCTCAGGAATTGCTGCATTAGTCGCTTTGCTGGACCCTGTTGTCATCAGCTGACTTGAAGCTTCAGTTTCTAAACCTGAAAGCATTTAGAGAATGCATTTACTCGATTTTAAATGAACTGCTATGTGATTCAACACTTATAATTGTGTGTTTAGTGAAATGAATACTTTGTACCCAATTGTCAAACAAGGAAAGGTCTTTTGGAACAATATTCAAGTCTAGATCACGGCGTCTGGTATTAAAGAGCGAATTATTCACATTATTATATTCTAGTCGAATCAAACTTTCAGCAACACTCACATTGAATATCACCCAACGCAACTGGTTTATTGTGTACATCGTTACCATATAATTCATACACCGCCGGAACGTTCGAGTAAGATAAGTAATCATGAGAATATTTCAAAGCATGCAGGAAGGTAGTACTACGATCGTACCGACCAGCGCGTATCGGATGTCGATGCGACCCTGTACTGCCTTGGTGCATACTCTTCTGTATCCTCGTGATAACCATAATATTATACATCTTTTTTTTTCTGCTTGTAGTTATGATTTAATGTAATATGATACCATTGAAACAACAAACAAATATAAATACATGTGTTATTTTAGTAAATGATAAACAATAAAACTGGCATTCCGCAGTAGATTTGAAATTAATTTGAACTCATGAATGAAAAATAACTTTAAAAATTAATTTTGCATACTTATGCATGAGGAAATATGCATGAGCACTTACTTTGCTGGTCAAATATCAGTATTAAGACTTATATATATTATCATTATTTTCAGACTGTAGACAACAAAACTCACCTTCGGTAGTAGCTATAGGAATTTCTACAGTAGTCATTTTTCTGGATTCACTTGTTTGCTGTATGGGAGCGTCAGTTTTCAAAACTGTAATAAAACAAATATTATTTATTTTAACTACTAATTGGCTGTTTAAAATATTGAATTATTTTGTGGAGCTAAATAAAATACTAGAACACTTATTTAGAAGACTAGATACAGTATATACATATAAATATATTTATTCACGATAGTTCTGAAATGTTAGCAATTACAACAGACCTTTCGTAGTTGTTTCAGGAATTGCTGCAGTTGTCGCTTTGATGGACCTTGTTGTCATCAGCTCACTTGAAGCTTCAGTTTCTAAACCTGAAAACATTTAAAGAATGCATTTACCCGGTTTTTAATTTAACTACTATGTGATTCAACACTTATAATTTTGTGTTTAGTGAAATGAATACTTTGTACCCAATTGTCCAACAAAAAAGGTCTTTTGGAGCAATATTCAAGTCTAGATCACGGCGTCTCGTATTAAAATGCGAATTATTCACATTATTATATTCTAGTCGAATCAAACTTTCAGCAAAATGTATAAGGGAAAACTATGTGATTGACTTCTATGTGCAATCAATTTACATCCTGAATGACAATGCTAACGATTCTGAATTACTCATATTAAATCATTCACATTGAATAACATCCCAACGCTCCCGGTTTTATTGTGTGCATCGTTACCATATAAGTCATACACCGGCGTAACGTTCGAGTAAGATAAGTAATCATGAGAATATTTAAAAGTATGCAGGAAGGTAGTACTACGATAGTACCGACCAGCGCGTATCCGGATGTCGATGCGACCCTGTACTGCCTTGGTACATACTCTTCTGTTAACTCGTGATAACCATAATATTATACATCTTTTTGTTCTGCTTGTAATTATGATTTAATGTAATATGATACCATTGAAACAACAAACAAATATAAATACATGTGTTATTTTAGTAAATGATAAACAATAAAACTGGCATTCTGCAGTAGATTTGAAATTAATTTGAACTCCTGAATGAAAAATAACTTTTAAAATTAATTTGCCATATTTATGCATGAGGAAATATGCATGAGTCCTTACTTTGCGGGTAAAATATCAGTATTAATACTTATATATATTATCATTATTTTCAGAATGCAGACAACAAAACTTACCTTCAGTAGTAGCTATAGGAATTTCTACAGTAGTCACTTTTCTGGATTCACTTGTTTGCTGTAACGGAGCGTCTGTTTTCAAAACTTTAATAAAACAAATATTATGTATTTGTAACTACTAATTGGCTGTTTAAAGTATTGAATTATTTTGTGGAGCTAAATAACATACTAGAACACTTATTTGAAAGACCAGATACGGTATATATATATATATATATTTATTCAGGATAGTTCTGAAATGTTAGCAATTACGACTGACCCTTCGTAGTTGTCTCAGGAATTGCTGCAGTAGTCGCTTTGCTGGACCCTGTTGTCATCAGCTGACTTGAAGCTTCATTTTCTAAACCTGAAAGCATTTAGAGAATGCATTTACTCGATTTTAATTTAACTGCTATGTGATTCAACACTTATAATTTTGTGTTTAGTGAAATGAATACTTTGTACCCAATTGTCAAACAAGGAAAGGCCTTTTGGAACAATATTCAAGTCTAGATCACGGCGTCTGGTATTAAAGAGCGAATAATTCACATTATTATATTCTAGTCGAATCAAACTTTCAGCAACACTCACATTGAATATCACCCAACGCAACTGGTTTATTGTGTACATCGTTACCATATAATTCATACACCGCCGGAACGTTCGAGTAAGATAAGTAATCATGAGAATATTTCAAAGTATGCAGGAAGGCAGTACTATGATCGTACCGTCCGGCGCGTATCGGATGTCGATGCGACCCTGTACAGCCTTAGTGCATACTTTTCTGTATTCTCGTGATAACCATAATATTATACATCTTTTTTTCTGCTTGTAGTTATCATTCAATGTAATATGATACCATTGAAACAACAAACAAATATAAATACATGTGTTATTTTAGTAAATGATAAACAATAAAACTAGTACTCCGCAGTAGATTTGAAATTAATTTGAACTCCGGAATGAAAAATAACTTTTAAAATTAATGTTGCATACTTATGCATGACGAAATACGCATGATCACTTACTTTGCTGGTCAAATGTAAGTATTAATACTTATATATATTATCATTATTTTCAGAATGTAGACAACAAAACTCACCTTCGGTAGTAGCTATAGGAATTTCTACAGTAGTCACTTTTCTGGATTCACTTGTTTGCTGTAACGGAGCGTCTGTTTTCAAAACTTTAATAAAACAAATATTATGTATTTGTAACTACTAATTGGCTGTTTAAAGTATTGAATTATTTTGTGGAGCTAAATAACATACTAGAACACTTATTTGAAAGACCAGATACGGTATATACATATATATATTTATTCAGGATAGTTCTGAAATGTTAGCAATTACGACTGACCCTTCGTAGTTGTCTCAGGAATTGCTGCAGTAGTCGCTTTGCTGGACCCTGTTGTCATCAGCTGACTTGAAGCTTCAGTTTCTAAACCTGAAAGCATTTAGAGAATGCATTTACTCGATTTTAATTTAACTGCTATGTGATTCAACACTTATAATTTTGTGTTTAGTGAAATGAATACTTTGTACCCAATTGTCCAACAAAAAAAGTCTTTTGGAACAATATTCAAGTCTAGATCACGTCGTCTGGTATTAAAGAGCGAATTATTCACATTATTATATTCTAGTCGAATCAAACTTTCAGCAAAATGTATAAGAGAAAACAATGTGATTGACTTGTGTGTGCAATCAATTTGCATCCCGAATGACAATGCTAACGATTCTGAATTACTCGTATTAATTCACTCACATTGAATATCACCCAACGCAACTGGTTTATTGTGTATATCGTTACCATATAATTCATACACCGCCGGAACGTTCGAGTAAGATAAGTAATCATGAGAATATTTCAAAGTATGCAGGAAAGCAGTACTATGATCGTACCGTCCGGCGCGTATCGGATGTTGATGCGACCCTGTACAGCCTTAGTGCATACTTTTCTGTATTCTCGTGATAACCATAATACTATACATCTTTTTTTTCTGCTTGTAGTTATCATTCAATGTAATATGATACCATTGAAACAACAAACAAATATAAATACATGTGTTATTTTAGTAAATGATAAACAATGAAACTAGTACTCCGCAGCAGATTTGAAATTAATTTGAACTCCTGAATGAAAAATAACTTTAAAAATTAATTTTGCATACTTATGCATGAGGAAATAAGCATGAGCACTTACTTTGCTGGTCAAATATCAGTATTAATACTTATATATATTATCATTATTTTCAGAATGTAGACAACAAAACTCACCTTCGGTAGTAGCTATAGGAATTTCTACAGTAGTCACTTTTCTGGATTCATTTGTTTGCTGTATGGGAGCGTCGGTTTTCAAAACTTTAATAAAACAAATATTCTTTATTTTAACTACTAATTGGCTGTTTAAAATATTGAATTATTTTGTGGAGCTAAATAAAATACTAGAACACTTATTTAGAAGACTAGATACAGTATATACATATAAATATATTTATTCACGATAGTTCTGAAATGTTAGCAATTACAACAGACCGTTCGTAGTTGTTTCAGGAATTGCTGCAGTTGTCGCTTTGACGGACCTTGTTGTCAGCAGCTCACTTGAAGCTTCAGTTTCTAAACCTGAAAACATTTAAAGAATGCATTTACACGGTTTTTAATTTAACTACTATGTGATTCAACACTTATAATTTTGTGTTTAGTGAAATGAATACTTTGTACCCAATTGTCCAACAAAAAAGGTCTTTTGGAACAATATTCAAGTCTAGATCACGGCGTCTGGTATTTAAGAGCGAATTATTCACTTTATTATATTCTAGTCGAATCAAACTTTCAGCAAAATGTATAATAGAAAACTATGTGATTGACTTGTATGTGCAATCAATTTACATCCCGAATGACAATGCTAATGATTCTGAATTACTCGTATTAATTCACTCACATTTGAATGTCATCCAAGTCTCCCGGTTTATTGTGTACATCGTTACCATATAATTCGTACACCGCCGGAACTTTCGAGTAAGATAAGTAATCATGAGAATATTTCAAAGTATGCAGGAAGGCAGTACTATGATCGTACCGAACAGCGCGTATCGGGTGTCGATGCGACCCTGTACTGCCTTGGTGCATACTCTTCTGTATTCTCTTGATAACCATAATATTATACTTTTTTTTTCTGCTTGTAGTTATCATTCAATGTAATATGATACCATTGAAACAACGAACAAATATAAATACATGTGTTATTTTAGTAAATGATAAACAATGAAACTAGTACTCCGCAGCAGATTTGAAATTAATTTGAACTCCTGAATGAATAATAACTTTAAAAATTAATTTTGCATACTTATGCATGAGGAAATAAGCATGAGCACTTACTTTGCTGGTCAAATATCAGTATTAATACTTATATATATTATCATTATTTTCGGAATGTAGACAACAAAACTCACCTTCGGTAGTAGCTATAGGAATTTCTACAGTAGTCACTTTTCTGGATTCATTTGTTTGCTGTATGGGAGCGTCGGTTTTCAAAACTGTAATAAAACAAATATTCTTTATTTTAACTACTAATTGGCTGTTTAAAATATTGAATTATTTTGTGGAGCTAAATAAAATACTAGAACACTTATTTAGAAGACTAGATACAGTATATACATATAAATATATTTATTCACGATAGTTCTGAAATGTTAGCAATTACAACAGACCTTTCGTAGTTGTTTCAGGAATTGCTGCAGTTGTCGCTTTGACGGACCTTGCTGTCATCAGCTCACTTGAAGCTTCAGTTTCTAAACCTGAAAACATTTAAAGAATGCATTTACCCGGTTTTTAATTTAACTACTATGTGATTCATCACTTATAATTTTGTGTTTAGTGAAATGAATACTTTGTACCCAATTGTCCAACAAAAAAGGTCTTTTGGAACAATATTCAAGTCTAGATCACGGCGTCTGGTATTTAAGAGCGAATTATTCACATTATTATATTCTAGTCGAATCAAACTTTCAGCAAAACGTATAAACGTATAATAGAAAACTATGTGATTGACTTGTATGTGCAATCAATTTACATCCCGAATGACAATGCTAATGATTCTGAATTACTCGTATTAATTCACTCACATTTGAATGTCATCCAAGTCTCCCGGTTTATTGTGTACATCGTTACCATATAATTCGTACACCGCCGGAACGTTCGAGTAAGATAAGTAATCATGAGAATATTTCAAAGTATGCAGGAAGGCAGTACTATGATCGTACCGAACAGCGCGTATCGGGTGTCGATGCGACCCTGTACTGCCTTGGTGCATACTTTTCTGTATTCTCTTGATAACCATAATATTAAACTTTTTTTTTCTGCTTGTAGTTATGATTTAATGTAATATGATACCATTGAAACAACAAACAAATATAAATACATGTGTTATTTTAGTAAATGATAAACAATAAAACTGGCATTCCGCAGTAGATTTGAAATTAGTTTGAACTCCTGAATGAAAAATAACTTTTAAAATTAATTTTGCATATTTATGCATGAGGAAATATGCATGAGCCCTTACTTTGCTGGTCAAATATCAGTATTAATACTTATATATATTATCATTATTTTCAGAATGCAGACAACGAAACTTACCTTCAGTAGTAGCTATAGGAATTTCTACAGTAGTCACTTTTCTGGATTCACTTGTTTGCTGTAACGGAGCGTCTGTTTTCAAAACTTTAATAAAACAAATATTATGTATTTGTAACTACTAATTGGCTGTTTAAAATATTGAATTATTTTGTGGAGCTAAATAACATACTAGAACACTTATTTGAAAGACCAGGTACGGTATATACATATATATATTTATTCAGGATAGTTCTGAAATGTTAGCAATTACGACTGACCCTTCGTAGTTGTCTCAGGAATTGCTGCAGTAGTCGCTTTGCTGGACCCTACTGTCATCAGCTGACTTGAAGCTTCAGTTTCTAAACCTGAAAGCATTTAGAGAATGCATTTACTCGATTTTAATTTAACTGCTATGTGATTCAACACTGATAATTTTGTGTTTAGTGAAATGAATACTTTGTACCCAATTGTCCAACAAAAAAAGTCTTTTGGAACAATATTCAAGTCTAGATCACGTCGTCTGGTATTAAAGAGCGAATTATTCACATTATTATATTCTAGTCGAATCAAACTTTCAGCAAAATGTATAAGAGAAAACTATGTGATTGACTTGTGTGTGCAATCAATTTGCATCCCGAATGACAATGTTAACGATTCTGAATTACTCGTATTAATTCACTCACATTGAATATCACCCAACGCAACTGGTTTATTGTGTACATCGTTACCATATAATTTATACACCGCCGGAACGTTCGAGTAAGATAAGTAATCATGAGAATATTTCAAAGTATGCAGGAAGGCAGTACTATGATCGTACCGTCCGGCGCGTATCGGATGTTGATGCGACCCTGTACAGCCTTAGTGCATACTTTTCTGTATTCTCGTGTTAACCATAATACTATACATCTTTTTTTCTGCTTGTAGTTATCATTCAATGTAATATGATACCATTGAAACAACAAACAAATATAAATACATGTGTTATTTTAGTAAATGATAAACAATGAAACTAGTACTCCGCAGCAGATTTGAAATTAATTTGAACTCCTGAATGAAAAATAACTTTAAAAATTAATTTTGCATACTTATGCATGAGGAAATAAGCATGAGCACTTACTTTGCTGGTCAAATATCAGTATTAATACTTATATATATTATCATTATTTTCGGAATGTAGACAACAAAACTCACCTTCGGTAGTAGCTATAGGAATTTCTACAGTAGTCACTTTTCTGGATTCATTTGTTTGCTGTATGGGAGCGTCGGTTTTCAAAACTGTAATAAAACAAATATTCTTTATTTTAACTACTAATTGGCTGTTTAAAATATTGAATTATTTTGTGGAGCTAAATAACATACTAGAACACTTATTTAGAAGACTAGATACAGTATATACATATAAATATATTTATTCACGATAGTTCTGAAATGTTAGCAATTACAACAGACCTTTCGTAGTTGTTTCAGGAATTGCTGCAGTTGTCGCTTTGACGGACCTTGTTGTCATCAGCTCACTTGAAGCTTCAGTTTCTAAACCTGAAAACATTTAAAGAATGCATTTACCCGGTTTTTAATTTAACTACTATGTGATTCATCACTTATAATTTTGTGTTTAGTGAAATGAATACTTTGTACCCAATTGTCCAACAAAAAAGGTCTTTTGGAACAATATTCAAGTCTAGATCACGGCGTCTGGTATTTAAGAGCGAATTATTCACATTATTATATTCCAGTCGAATCAAACTTTCAGCAAAATGTATAAGAGAAAACTATGTGATTGACATGTATGTGCAATCAATTTACATCCCGAATGACAATGCTAATGATTATGAATTACTCGTATTAATTCACTCACATTTGAATACCATCCAATTCTCCTGGTTTATTGTGTACATCGTTACCATATAATTCATACACCGCCGGAACGTTCGAGTAAGATAAGTAATCATGAGAATATTTCAAAGTATGCAGGAAGGTAGTACTACGATCGTACCGACCAGCGCGTATCGGATGTCGATGCGACCCTGTACTGCCTTGGTGCATACTCTTCTGTATCCTCGTGATAACCATAATATTATACATCTTTATTTTCTGCTTGTAGTTATGATTTAATGTAATATGATACCATTGAAACAACAAACAAATATAAATACATGTGTTATTTTAGTAAATGATAAACAATAAAACTGGCATTCCGCAGTAGATTTGAAATTAATTTGAACTCCTGAATGAAAAATAACTTTTAAAATTAATTTTGCATATTTATGCATGAGGAAATATGCATGAGCCCTTACTTTGCTGGTCAAATATCAGTATTAATACTTATATATATTATCATTATTTTCAGAATGCAGACAACAAAACTTACCTTCAGTAGTAGCTATAGGAATTTCTACAGTAGTCACTTTTCTGGATTCACTTGTTTGCTGTAACGGAGCGTCTGTTTTCAAAACTTTAATAAAACAAATATTATGTATTTGTAACTACTAATTGGCTGTTTAAAGTATTGAATTATTTTGTGGAGCTAAATAACATACTAGAACACTTATTTGAAAGACCAGATACGGTATATACATATATATATTTATTCAGGATAGTTCTGAAATGTTAGCAATTACGACTGACCCTTCGTAGTTGTCTCAGGAATTGCTGCAGTAGTCGCTTTGCTGGACCCTGTTGTCATCAGCTGACTTGAAGCTTCAGTTTCTAAACCTGAAAGCATTTACAGAATGCATTTACTCGATTTTAATTTAACTGCTATGTGATTCAACACTTATAATTTTGTGTTTAGTGAAATGAATACTTTGTTCCCAATTGTCAAACAAGGAAAGGTCTTTTGGAACAATATTCAAGTCTAGATCACGGCGTCTGGTATTAAAGAGCGAATTATTCACATTATTATATTCTAGTCGAATCAAACTTTCAGCAAAATGTATAAGAGAAATCTATGTGATTGACTTGTGTGTGCAATCAATTTGCATCCCGAATGACAATGTTAACGATTCTGAATTACTCGTATTAATTCACTCACATTGAATATCACCCAACGCAACTGGTTTATTGTGTACATCGTTACCATATAATTTATACACCGCCGGAACGTTCGAGTAAGATAAGTAATCATGAGAATATTTCAAAGTATGCAGGAAGGCAGTACTATGATCGTACCGAACAGCGTGTATCGGGTGTCGATGCGACCCTGTACTGCCTTGGTGCATACTCTTCTGTATTCTCCTGATAACCATAATATTATACATCTTTTTTTTCTGCTTGTAGTTATCATTCAATGTAACATGATACCATTGAAACAACAAACAAATATAAATACATGTGTTATTTTAGTAAATGATAAACAATAAAACTAGTACTCCGCAGTAGATTTGAAATTAATTTGAACTCCGGAATGAAAAATAA